TTGACATAGTATAAAACATAAAGATCTTAGTGTACTTTTCAAATAGACCAATTTATATCAAAGTTTCTCCAAGTAGCTATTAAAAATCTAAATCATAAGACAGACACAAGATGCTGTTTTTCTGGATGAAGAAGAAACTGAGGTTCTATGACTAGCCTTACAAAAAACAGCAATTCGTTGCCATAGCCACCAATCTAATACAAAACAAACTTAGACACAATGCTCTAGACCAGAAGCAAGCTCTTAGAACAAAAGGAGACAGAAAGACCACATAAACTCACCAGACAATACCACACAAAACAAGGATATGGGGATCCTAGTTTCTTAAAGTGTATATAACAATTTTTGGTATGATCGACTCAATTCAATGGAAAAAACAGGTACAGAACTGCCACTTCTCCCTTAAATATCATAACACAGGTCAGGAGCTGCCACCTCCCCCTGAGAATCTGCCAAAATAGGCAAGAGCTGCCACCTCTCCCTGTGAATTTGGCAAAGCAGAGCACTATTTTCCACGTTTTCTCTGAGCCGCAAAAAGGTCCAAATTTTGCAGCTTATAGTGACTCACAGCTCTTTGAAAATAGAATTACCTCTTCAACGCCCGAATCCAGGCCTAAACTGCAGTTCACTTAAAGAGTTACTAAATGTCTCTCTTAACCAAAAGATCAAGCGAAAATCTAAGAAAGATCCTCCTTAATCAAACCGGTTTTTCAAACAAATATGCCAAACAAAACTTAAGAAAACATGAGAAAGAGAACAACAAAGAATAAGCAAAGGTTCATTTTCTGAGAGCACTCACCCGTCAGTGTCGAAGGGACATGGAGTGGGAACACATGGGTCCAGAAGATAGGACCTTTCTTTGCTGGCTTCTGCTCCACAGTCCAGGTCTCTTCAAAGTTGACTCGATTTGTAGCTTCAGATCCTGCTGACTACGCCATTAATTTTTGTAGGGGAAAAACATCACAAAGTTTAGTAAAGCAAAAAGAAAAGTTTTATTTGGTATATATTCAAATGGACAAAAGTGGGAAGTAGACAAGCATGCTGCCACAGCCGTGTCTGCCCGAGTCCAAAGAATATTACAGAATAGGTAAGAATGGGAAAACAGACAAGCATGCTGCCACAGCCATGTCTGCCCGAGTCCCTTCACCATACTTTTTGCTTTGTATTTCATTTTAATTCTTGATTGAACAAGTAGATCATGTGTATGATGTCTTTTCTTTTTCAAGTTTCTGTGATTTTGTTGTTGTTTTCCCTTTTGAAATTATTTTCACCATTTTTACATTTGTAAATCTTACCTACAGTATTAATTTCCTAACAGATTATCACAATGTTGATGACTTCAAAGAACAGAGATTTATTCTCTTGCAGTTCTGGAGGTCAGAAACCTGAAATCAATATTATTGGGCTGAAATCAAAGTTTTGGCAGAGCCAAACTCTTTCTACGGGATCGTGGGAAGAATTTGCTCCTTGCATCTTATACCTTCAAGTGACTTCCAGTTTTGCTTGGCATGTGGCCCTATCACTCCAGTCTTCAGAGCCAGCATCTTCAAACCTCCCTCTGTCCTGTCTTTACAACACTTTCCTCTGTGTGCATATATATATGTGTTAAATCAAAAACTGCAAGGACATGGCTCATAGAAAGCACTCTTAGTAGCATTTCCTAGAAAGCTATCTTTGGAGCAAGGATCATGTGGCAACTATTTAGAAATATTCCGGTATCCCTGACACAAACAGTAATACATTGTTTCAATTTAAAAAAATGAATAAACCTAGCTGTAAAAACAGAGTTATGTATTCAAGATAAAGTATGGTACTGCATTGAAGTTCAGATGTTTTAAAAGACATAAGATTTCTCATACTACCTGAGTGATTTCGCATTTTAAGATAAAGGCAAGAGAAGTTGTTCACCTTTGAACCTTCAACTAGAGCAGTTTATCAACCTTGGTACTATTGACATTTTAGGCCAGATGATTCTTTGCTATGAGGTTCTGTCATGGGCATTGTAGGATGTGGCACAGCATCCCTGGCCTCTACTCATTAGATGCAAGTAGTGCCCTTCCTCTCCTCCCTGACTCACCGCTGAGAGTTCTGACAAGCAACGCTGTCTCTAGTCATTGTCAAATGTTCCATGAGGAGTAAAACCACCCATGCTGGGAAGCACTGAACTAGTGGATCAATACACTACAGCTCTAATTGTCTCAAAGGAACCTTCAACACTGAACATCCCCGTGTTTACAAAGTTTGAAGTGGAATTCAAAGCCATTTTATCTAAATCAAATATATATTTCCGCCATACCTCTCTTCATTAGAGAACACATTCTCTCTAGACCTCATTTTAACGTTTCCAAGCTTGCCATGGACATTCTTACCACCATGGCATTGTTTATGTAATTTCTCTACTTTCTGTCATTCACTATTCCAAATCCTTAATGCCCAGTTCAAGTTATTCTCCTCTTCTCTGTTTTGTGCCTAAAATAGTAGTTAGCACAAATATACACAGCATAAATGTATTGTTTGAATGAAGACTTTCTGATCTGTTCTGGTCTTGGATGGCCAATGTTCAATTTGAACAAAGATAAAAATAAATAATAGCATAATTCAGATATTAACTTCATTCACAGTTGGTTCTCCTCTCAAGAGTTGAATTTCAGGATCTTTCTCTCTCTCAGTGGATAGCTAAATATATGTTTGCTTCCTCCCTGGTCATTGAACCATCCCTTTACATAAAATATTCTGATACTTGTTTGATACATTGCTTTGAACTGGTAAAATAAAATTAAGTAATAAGTATTATAATCTAATTTTCTATTTAATGATCTACCACTTTGAAGGCCAACACATGCTTCTTTTGGACATATTCAAGATATAGAAGAACATATTACATCACTTTATTTAGATATCCAATTATTGAGCTTAAAATGAATCATTCACCTGGCTTAAAATTTCCTTTTCTTTACTTCCAACCCACTAGATGTGATTAAAGGGGCCAATATGCAAACCAAATCAGTCTTTGATGGTGTAATATACAACTGTGATATGGAAGGAAGATGAGTTAATTAGATGCCATGAATATATCTCCTGAATTAGAGAAAATCTGTTGAACCTGGTACTCCCCAAAACTTTGTTTGGACATTAATAAATGTAAAGCACACTTTATGCCATCCTGTTGTTCATAAGCACCAATTCCAAAACAGTGTGGATTAATTGAGAAAATATTGTAGAAGAAGGATTCAAAGCAATCCTTCCCCATATACTTTTTCCACCATCTTACATTTCCCAAACATGTTACAGTGTCCCACAAAGAAATGCCACTTGTACAAGTAGATTTACTGGAATTCTGAAATGTTTTTATAAAATGACATTTTGCAATGGCAGCTATATTGCCTATGACATTCAGCAGCTTTTAGCGTCTACATTTGTAATGAATAATTAAGAGTGCCCTTGAGTCTTGTATCAAAAAACAAACAAACAAACTCATCACCATCAAGTTGATTCTGACTCATAGAGACCCTATAGGACAGAGTAGAACTGCCCCATAGGGTTTCCAAGGACTGGCTGGTGAATTAGAATTGCCAACCTTTTGGTTAGCAACCACAGCACTTAACCTCTTGTGAAGTCCTTTAAATATAAGGTTATAGCTTTGTTTCCTGAGTAAGCTGCTTCTTTTATTTTGGCTATCAAAAAACTAGAACTGAGCCTGATGAAGTAGGTGCACATCAAGAAAGTACCAATGAATGCTCTTTACTTCTCAATATGCATGTCTTTATAGATCCATTACCTCTAATAACCACAACCACATAATGAACTTTCTTTCAAGGTGTAAAACATATATTCAAAGCACATAACTATTATCTCAGTAGATTTTACTCTGACTGCCATCTAAACATCACTCAAAAATGTTATTGTGTATGTTGATTTTATTATACATCTGTTTTCTCACTCTATGTCATGGACACAATGCAGGTGATTGTTCTAAGAAGGATGAAACACTCATCATAAGAGAATGCTAATAATTTCAGCTTATACACAATGATTTAACAAACTAAGTGACAGATAAAATGATGCCTTGAGGAGAGGATGGCTTATGAACCAAGACTACAGGAATCTGTCCAGGCCGGAGATGGAGTAGGGAGGGGGAATGAAAGGAAATCTTCCTAGAGGAAGGGAGGAAAGAGTTACGAATTACAGCAGAAAGATGGACTTTACCAAGGTCCTTCTCTGCTCTTTTTGATCTAATCATTTGGAGCTTCATTTCTCTAGAAAGGCATAGTCTTATCGACCTCATGGTCACTAATTGCCAATCCTTCTGCCTAGAGTACTTTCTTGTCCCCCACTTTACATCTCCATTCATCATTTAGATCAGAAACTACAAGTCCCCATTTCAAAGAAATTTTTCTTTTTCCACAGTAGATCGAGACATTTTACTTTGGATTAAGAATACCTTGACTTTTCATTTCGAGATGTTTTATAGTTTGTTATGAATTATTTGAATTATTACCTAATTAAAGTTTGCCATTTACACTAGATTATAGAATTCATTAGTATAGAAACTACTGGATAGACCATCAAATACAAAACTCCAAGAAGTATAATAGACATTAAATCAATAACTCCTAGAATAATTCAGTTAATGCATGAAAGAAACATCGAAAATATAAAATTTTAATACATTAATAAAGAAATCAGAAAATTTTCTAAAATTAAAGAGTAGTGTATTTAAATCGAAAACACATAAGAAAGTATAGCATATTTAGGAAAGTACCTAACAATTGGTGTAGCAGAGAATTTGTATAAATACTCATTTTATTAAAGTATATGAAACCACATTATACTGTACTATATGATTTAAAGAAAACAACAACTGCTTACGTGTGTGTATAACTATTTAAAACAGTGTTTTATTTTTCAGCTTTTCCAGAGCCTCTTTCACATCCTTATTTCTTAGGCTGTATACCAGTGGGTTTAACATGGGAATAACAAGTGTATAAAACAATGAGGTCATTTTGTCTTGATCTAGAGAGTAGGAAGAACTTGGTCGGAAATACATAGAAAGCATAGTTCCCTGGAAAATTGAAACAACAGTTAAGTGAGAGGCGCAGGTGGAGAAAGCTTTGAACCTTCCCTCAGCAGAGTGGATCTTTAAGACTGAGAGGATGATGTAACAGTAAGAGACAAGAACTCCTGAAATGGTACTCAGTTCAATTAAGCCAAAAATGGTGAACATCACTAACTCATTGACCTGCGTATCTGAACAAGATAGCAACAGAAGAGGAGGGACATCACAGAAGAAATGATTGATTTCACTTGACCCACAGAAACATAAGTGGAAAGTTAACATATGTATCAAAGCATCCATCATGCTCACCAGGTAAACCCCAGTCATTAGCACGAAGCACACCCTGCTGGACATGCTGACAGTATAGAGCAAAGGGTTGCTAATGGCCTTGTACCTGTCAAAGGCCATCACTGCCAGCAGGAGACACTTAGAATCTGTAAAGATACAGAAGATGAAGAACTGCAGAGCACAGCCATAGAAGGAAATGGATTTGTCTTTGGCTAAGAGGTCCACCAGCAACTTGGGCCCAGTTGCTGTGGCATAGCAGAGGTCAGAGAAGGAGAGGTGGCTGAGGAAAAAGTACATTGGTGTTTGAAGTTGGGAGTCCATTCTAATTAAAATGGTCATTCCAAGATTTGCCGTAAGAATAATGAGATAAACAATCAGAAACAAGGTGAATATGGTCACTTTGATCTCAGCGTTATTAGTAATTCCTAAGACGTGGAATTCAGTCAAGGAGGAGCAATTTTCTCCATCCATTCTTTTTGTTCTTTTTCTAAACGGCTACAAAAAAAGATCAAAAAGATGGTAGATCAGGGTTTATCTCTGGTGGACGTCCACAAAATATTATCTGTAAAGCAGAACATTTTCTTTCTGTAAATTTTCTTTTTTACTCTCAGAAAGTAGCCCAGATAAATGTCACTGAAAAAAGAAGCATTGTTATGTTATTGAAAAAACTTAAAATGTCTTTAAGAGAAAGTTCACAAACTTTGATTCCAAATCCATTTGTCATTTTTAGTATATTTATATTTTATCTGAGACCGTAGATTTGAATAAACCTAAAGGTCATTCCAGATTCAAAATGACCTAAAAACACACAGTAGTCAGAGAGACAAAGCCAGAAGATACAGGCCTAAACATTTGATGAGTAAAAATAAATACCTCATTGGACGGAAGAAGTCATCACATTTTTTTGTATTCATCCAGAAATATAATTGATTTTAAAGATTCAGCAACAATGAATCATAATGCATATAAGTTAATGAATGAAAGTTATTATGTTACTGTTTTGGTGTATGATGTCTTTAGTTTTATCTGAATAACTAAGCATGAATAAAACATGTTTTATTCAACTTTTCTTTCACACTTTACCTTCTCTTTGCCAACCATTTGTAGTCCAGTTATATGACTGACCGGATCCCAAAGGATATGTCCACCAACAAACTAAAGAGAAATTAAAAAAATTAGGAAATACAGAATTTAACACACACATTTGCATGTCTTTGAATTTTAAAATTGAATTTTCCATAAAAAATATAAATAGAAGAACAATAAATGTTTCAGAAATATTAATGGTTCTTTTCCTTGAGTGAGTGTGTGCATGTGTCTGTGAGGGGGTGTGAATCTCTCTGTTGGTATATAAAAATCTCAATATGAGTGGTGATCTGATTTTGATTTCTTTCTATACTTAGGAATCATAGTATGTGGTCCATATGAACTTGAATTTATCCATTTTTTTAATAGACAAAGAATTTTTTTTATTGTTGCTGAAAGTATATACAGCAAAACATACACCAATTCAGCAATTTTTACATTCAGTGACATGGATTACATTTTTTTTCTTTCTTTTTTATTGTACTTTAGGTGACGGTTTACAGAACAAATAGTTTCTCATTAAACAGTCAGTACCACATATTGTTTTATGACATTGGTTAACAACCCCACGAAATGTCAACCCTCTCCCTTCTCGACCTCTTTTTTTTTGGTGAGAATATACATAGCCAAAGATACACCATTTCAAAAATTTCTACGTGCACAGTTCAGTGACATTGATTGCATTCTTCCAGTTGTGCTGCTATTCTTACTTTAGATAAAGGTGTACAGAACAAAATAGTTTCTCATTAAACAGTTAGCACACCTGTTGCCTTATGACAATGGTTAACAACCCCACTACATGTCAACACTGTCCTTACTCAAACTTGGGTTCCCTATCACCAGCTTTCTTGTCCCCTTCTGCCTTCTAGTCCTTGTCCCTGGACTACTGTGCCTCATTAGTCTCATTTTGTTTTATAGGGCTCTCCAATCCCTGGCTGAACGGTGAACCTTGGGAGTGACTTCACCACTGAGAAAAGGGTGTCTGGGGGCCATACTCTCGGGGTTTCTCCAGTCTCTGTCAGGCCAGTAAATCTGGTCTTTTTTTTGTGTGTTAGAATTTTGTTCTACATTCTTCTCCAGCTCTGTCCAGAACCCTCTATGTGATCCCAGTCAGAGCAGTCAGTTGTGAGCCAGGCACCATCTAGCTGTACTAGACTCAGTCTGGTGGAGGGCTTGGTAGCTGTGGTCCATTAGTCCTTTGGACTAGTCTTTTCCTTGTATCCTGTTCTCTTCATCCTACCTTGCTCCCAAAGGGGTGAGACCAGTGGAATATCTTAAATGGCTGCTCACTGGCTTTTAAGACCCCAGACGCTACTCACCAATGTAGAATGTAGAACATTGTCTTTATAAACTGTGTTATGCCAATTGAGCTAGATGTTCCCCGAGATCATGGTCGCCACAGCCCTCCACCCAGCAGTTCAACCTCTCAGGGAGTTTGGATGTTTCTATGGAGCATCCATGACCTTTCCTTGTACAAGTTGTGCTGTTTTCCCCAGTATTGTGTACTGTCTCACCCTTCACCCAAGACACCACTTATCTATTCCCTATTTAGTATTTCCCCCCATCCCTCCCATCCCTCATAACCAACAAAGATTGTTACTTTTTGTGTGTCAACTTTTCATATTGGTATTTTTAATGTGATACCTCAATTATGGTTGGAATAACATTAGAACAAATCTTAAATTCACATATATAGTGATATCACTTGAACAGTGATAAAAATGATTTACTTATGAATTTTAGTTAAAATATAAATTAATAACGTATCTCCTTTACTCATACAAATGAGGTCAGTCATATTCACACAGCTTCAATCATAAATTGTTTTGGCTTGGCTGTTATATTGCAGAGTTTATTTAAGTGAATAAGTAGGTATAAACTGACTCATTTACAAACTCCTCATTATTTGATTCCTCTATTTTCCAAAAAAATTTTTTTCTATGGACTTATGTCAGTTCTAAATCAAATCCTACCTGAGATGAGCATGTCTTTCTCTTCTGATTTTGGGTAGGTGAACACTAGGCAGGTCACATTTTATTTTTACTTAGTGACATTTGGGACTTAAATCTCTCAAGTCTCTGCCCTCATTTTTCTGTGTTTTGCAAACATGTGATTAGATTTCTTGCTCTGTATTTTTCCCCTGTGAATGCTGTAACAACTTTAGCAAAGGCTGAAATTTTCATACAATGTGAGCAATGTCCAGTAACAATTGAGCTTAATGCTGTGCTTTATGGCTACCTTGAATCTATACCCTTCTCCAGTCAAATCACACATCTAATGAAGCTCAGATACTCTCTACTAAATGATTTTCATATCCTTATCATTGTACATGCTGTTTTTCTTTCCATTTCTGAAACAAACTTCTTCACTTCCCCATTTAGATATGTGACAATCCTATAATGGTTATCCCTTATTTTCATTAATCACTGTGTGATTCCCTTCCCCCAACCACATGTCAACCACTCCCAAACCAGTGATTTTATGATTTTATAACATTCATTACTCATAATGTACTCTGTCTTGAGTCATTTATTTTTTCTGTTCATATTTGTTTCTCTCGAAATTCTCACAGTCTTTAGAGCAGGGATTTTCAAAAGTAATGGCTCATTAAATGTTTGTTCTTAAATATCTTCTGTTGTTTGGTGGATAAAGAACAAAGAGTAGAAATAAACAGAATTTAAGGGCTGTTTCTACTCACATAGTTGATAGGTGCAAGGATGACTCTTTTCAAGGAAAACATATGTGTTAGGATGATGCTTTCAAGAAAAAATAAACTTAGTTCTATTTTTTTTTCTGTCTTTCACTCTCTCTGTCTATGTATGTATGTTGTTGTTGTTAGGTGCTATCCAGTCAGTTCCAACTCATAGTAACCCTATGTACAACGGAACAAAACACTGCCTGGTCTTGCACCATCCTCATAATCCTTGTTATACTTGAGCCCATTGTTGCACCCACTGTGTCAATCCATCTTATTGAGGGTCTTCCTCTTTTCAACTGACCTTCTGCTTTACCAAGATGATGTGCTTCTCCAGGGACTGATCCCTCCTTACAACACGTCCAAAGTACGTGAGACGTAGTCTCGCCATCGTTGCTTCCAAGGAGCATTTGGTTTGTACTTCTTCCAAGACAGATGTGATCGTTCTTTTGGCAGTTCATGGTATCTTTAATATTCTTTGGTAACACCACAATTCAAAGGCATCAATTCTTCTTCAGTCTTCCTTATTCATTGTCCAGCTTTCACATGCATATGAGGTGATTGAAAACACCATGGCTTGGGTCAG